AAAGTGCCCTGCGTGGACAGACGCCGGTGGACATTCCCCACCCTTGCAGCTTCAGTGGCCCTCTCTGAACCCCAAGCCCTGTCCTCGTCTGGCACCACCGCCCTCCTCATCCCGAACTCCAGCTCTGGGCGTCCCAGGGTCTCCTAGACATCTCCCCTGATGTGTCCCCAGCTGTCCTTCCAACTCTCCTGAATCTGCACCTCCCCCGGGCCCCACTGCAAGGACAGCTGTCCTACCCATGCTTCAGGTCTCAGCCTGGGTGCCACCCTCTCCAGGACGCCCTCCCTGACTGCCCCCAGCCTATCCTGGACCCCAGAGAGGGTGCTTTCTCTACCTCCTCCCCCCACTCAGCCATCTCCCTCGGCTCCCTGCCCGTTCATGTACCACCTCCTCCATGAAGCTCTCCTGCCTCTTCAGGCTGGTTAGGCATTCCCGTGCTGGGCCTCTCTGTCCTGGCTCTCACCTCTCTGGCTATGCTTCCCAAAGTAGCACCCCCCGCCCCGGCCTGTGCATCCCCTATCCCATCCCCACCCATCCAGGCTGGCAGTGCCCAGCGATGGGTCTGTCTCTGCCACTGGACAGTGAACCCTCTGAGGGCAAAGCTACCACTGTGTCGGCCAAGCGCTCAATGGTCAGTACATTCGCCCACTTGTTCAACTAACGCGTTCCCAGCACCTGCTGGCCAAGTCCTGTCCCAGAAACTGGGGGTCAGGGGCCAGTGTTGTGGCCCAGCCTGTGCCACCGGCACCCCACAGGATGCCAGCTCCAGTCCCGGCTGCCCCACTTCCAATCCAGCTCCCTGGAAAGGCGGCAGGGCATGGCCCCAGTACTTGGGCCCCTGCCTCCCACATGTGAGAGAGACCTGGATGGAGCTCCAGGCTCCTGACTTCAGCCTGGCCCAGCCCCAGCCGTTACAGCCATTTGGGGAGAGAACCAGTGGGTGGGAGAGCTCTAGAAAAAGAACTCTTCTAAAGACAGCCTTTTGGGACTGTTGGGAGAGCGTGAAATATGCGGCATGTGCCTTGGCAAAGATAAAGCAGGAGACATGGCATGACAACCAAAAATGGCTGAGCGTCCCAGTTTAAAAATGGCAACACGGGCAGGCGCCCGGCACTGCGGTGAAAATGCAGCTCGGGATACCCACATCCCACATTGGAGCGCTTGGTTCCTACCCCGTCACCGCCTCTGGCCCAGCTTCTTGTTAATGTGCACCCCGAGAGGCGGCAGGCGATGGCTCAAGTGCTCGGGTCCCTGCCACCCACGTGGGAGACCTGGATTGACTTCTGGGCTCCTGGCTTTGGCCTGGCCCACCCCTGACTATTGTGGGCTTCTGGGGGAGTGAACCTGTAGATGGAAGATCTCTGTCTCACTCAAATAAAAACTGCAAAGGAGGGGCTGGCATTGCGGCACAGCGGGTTAAACCACCACTTGCGACGCCAGCATCCCGATCGGTGCCAGTTCAAGTCCCTGCTGCTAAGGCTCCTGGGAAGGCAGCAGAGGGTGGCTCAAGTACTTAGGGCCCCTGCGACCCATGAGGGAGACTCAGATGGTGTTCCAAGCTCCTGGCTTCAGTCCAGACCGGGTTTTTGCAGCCATTTGGGGTGTGAACAAGTAGACGGAGGATCTGTCACTTTGCCTTGCAAGTGAATGAATGAACCAGACCATGAGCAAATGAAAATGCAAGGCTGGCTCTCCCTTCACCGTGTCGCGTGAAGGACTGCCACCCCGCCCGGCGGGAGCCGGGAAACGCAGGATGTGGGGCAGAGGTCACGGCAAGGCGCCGCTCCCGCTGGACCAGGTGTGGAGTGACGCTCCGTACAGTTCCTCCCAGTTCTCTCAAAAGCCCCACGCAACGGGGAAGGGGGCCTGAGACCCCGGGATGAAGTCACCGGCACGAGAGGGAAAGGACGGAGCCAGGACTTGAGCCTGGGCTGCCTCGGGGCTCCAGGGACAAGACGTCCCAGGACAGCCGCCTGCCACCTGTAGACCTGCAGCAGCTGAGGCCAGCGGGGCCTCTGGCCTTCCAGAAACTCCACAGTGCCACCCCCAGCCCAGATCTCGGTGGGGGTCCCTGAGGCTTGCCCCAGAGACAGGCTACGTGAGTGTGGCTGGAGGAGGAGGAATCTGGTGCCCCTTCCAACACGGCTGCCTCTTGCCAGCCCATCCCTGTGCCCGCCCTCTGCCCCCAACCCTGCCATGGGCCCCCTCACTCAGAGCCAGCCTGCCCCACGCTCCTAAGGCCCCCCACCTTCTCACTCCACCATCGCCCTGAACTCAACTCCCACCCTCTCCTTTGCCCGCCTCCCTGCTGTACCTGCAACACTCAATATGCTCCGACTCGGGGCCTTTGCTGTTGCTGAACGCTCTTCCCCCGGGCAGCCCCGTCACCCGCTCCTTTCTCCAAGTCCTTGTTCCAATGACTTCTCACCAAACCTCCTTACATCAGTGTATTTCAGACTGTGACTGGGGCAGGTGTGGGGGCTCCATGTGTCGAGCCACAGCTTGGAACACCCGGGATTAAGTCCCGCTCTGCTTTTGATCCAGGTTCCTGCTAATGTGCACCATGGGAGGCGGCAGGTGATGGCTCAAGTATTGGGGTCCCAGCCACCCACACAGGAGACCTGGATAGAGCTCCTGGCTCCCGGCTTTGGCCTGGCTCAGCGGTGGCTGTTGTGGGCCTTTGGGGAGTGAACCAGTGGATGGAAGATCTCTGTCTCCCCAGTAAAGAACTATTTTTAAAAATCTGCAACCTTGGCCGGCGCCACGGCTCACTAGGCTAATCCTCCGCCTAGCGGCGCCGGCACACCGGGTTCTAGTCCCGGTCGGGGCGCCGGATTCTGTCCCGAGTGCCCCTCTTCCAGGCCAGCTCTCTGCTGTGGCTAGGGAGGGCAGTGGAGGATGGCCCAGGTGCTTGGGCCCTGCACCCCATGGGAGACCAGGAAAAGCACCTGGCTCCTGGCTCCTGCCATCGGATCAGCGCGGTGCGCCGGCCGCAGCGCGCCGGCTGCAGCGGCCATTGGAGGGTGAACCAACGGCAAAGGAAGACCTTTCTCTCTGTCTCTCTCTCTCACTGTCTACTCTGCCTGTCCCAAAAAAATAAATAAATAAAATAAAAAATAAATAAAAATCTGCAACCTTGGGGTGGGCAATTGGTGCAACAGTTAAGGCGCCACTTGGGACGCCCACACCCTTCAACAGAGTGCCCAGCTCTGCTTCCAAGTCCACCTTCCTGCTAAGGCACACCTTTGGAGACGATGGCTAAAATGTTCATGTATTTGAGTACAAATACACCCCTGTGGGAGACCTCAGTTGACTTCTGGGCTCCTGGCCCAGTCCCGGTTCTTGTGGGCACTTGGGAAGTGAACCAGCAGATGAGACAAAAACCCTGCGACCTTGACTCTGTATGTCCCACCCCCCTTCTACGACATCACATAATCTACTTACCTGTTTTCCCACCGTCTCTACCCCCGTGAGAACGCAAACCCTAGAAGGCCCGGGCTGCTCGTCCGATCAGTTCACTGCTGTACTCCCAATGCCTAGCAGTGGTGGGTGTACAGCGCCACACGTCAGAAATGTTTGTTGAATGAATAACTTGTTTTCATTCTCATACTGCAGACGCAGTACCTGAGGCATAGTGCGGTCACCTGACCAGGGTCATGCAGCTAGTTAAGTAGCAGGTGGTAGAACCAAGATGGGATCAGGGCAGTCCTGGCCCCAGGCTCCTACTGCCACCCCCTGTGTTACCTGTCTCCCTGACATCTGCTGGGAAAGACCCTGACCTCTCCCCTGCTGGGTGACCCTCGGGACTGCAAGGACCCACCCAAGTGGGAGGGGTCTCATCTCTCCCTACCCCCAATTCTAGAAGCCCACCAAGGGCCTCGGCTACCTTTGGGCTCCCCCTCCCCCTTACTTCCAGAGGGCAGGGGTCACCCGACCCAACAAGGTAAGGAGATAGGGGCTTCGTGACAGCTGATGGACCACCCCTCAGGCACAGCGACACGGCAGACGAGAGAGCGACATGGCGATGGCGGGGTGGCCTGGCCACCGTGGTACAGGTGACGCAAGCTGTGTGACCACACCAGGGGTACCGGGGGAGGGGGACAGCGACTGTGAGGTGGTGAAGGTGACTGGGTGCCTGAGAGTGACCCGGTGAACAACAGGAGCCCCAAACGCCGCATCCAGCTGAGCGGGACCCGCAGGATCTCCGCACTCATCCCGGGCACGCGGAGGAGCGGGGGCTGGAAAGGTGTGGAGCGATGGCCAAGGTTACCCAGGGACTGTGGCGCTGCCCATGGCACGGGCTCCGGGACCCCACTCTGGGGAATGACGGGGACTCGGACGCAAGACGCATGGCTCCTTATGGAGAAATCATTCACGAGGCGTGGAGGGTGCCGTCAGAGGGCGACACGGGAGGCAGCACCGTGAGGGCGGTGTGGGCGCGCTGGACGGGGGCTGGAGGCGAGCGAGGGGGCTGTGGTGACCGCGGGAGAGGAGGGAGGGCTTTGCAAAGGAGACATGGCAGCGAACGAGCTGTGCGGGCGACACAGGAAGGAGACGACGATACACTGTGGCAATGAGGGCTCAAGGAGTTCAGGGAGCTGATTGATGTAAGAGGAGGGGTCGCGACAGAAAGAGACCAAGGGCGACATAAGGGGAGGGACGCACTATAGACGTGGGGGAAAACACAAGGAGGACGGCCGAGACGCCGCGCCGCGAGGTCGCACGGTACCTGCGCTCCACGGCCCCCACTCCGGGCCCCAGCCCCGCACGCACCGTCCAGGCTGGAGCCCCGCCTGGCCGCCCCCACCTGCGCGCAGGCGCACTCCGGCTGGACTGCGGGCCCGTGGGGGCGAGGCATGCGTCCTTCTCATTGGCCGCGCTCCTTGCCTGCGGGGCGGGCGCGGGGTGGGGCGGAGAATGGGAGATCACGTGACGGTCGCCGCTCGTACTCTTGCTGGTGGCGGCCCGGCGGGCTAGAGCGGCCGCGGACGAGTCAGTCCGACTTCCGGCGGCGAGGGCAGCACTTCCGGGGCGGGCTGCCCGAGCCAAGGGAGGAGTGTCTGACAGTTGGCGCCGCCGGGAGGGCGGGCGGGCGGCGCGAGTGGGCGCGGGCCGGGTGGCCCAGGTGAGGCGCGGGCCAGGGGGGTGACGGGACTGGGCCGGATGCGGTGGGGATGGGTGGCATCTGGGGTTACAGTCCGGGTTCCACTCCGCGGCTCGGGGCCAGCGATTTCTTTTCTTTGAGCCTCAGTTTCCTCCTCTGTAGGATGGGGGTCAGGATCCGCCTGTAGCCCCCGCATCCTGGGCTGTGCGTGAGAAGTCGGCCCGTGCACGTGGGCGCCCCCAGAGCCTGCACAGCGTGCTCTCTTCGCTCCCGTGCTGTTACTGTTGGTACTGAGGATGTTGGCGCTGGGCGTGAGAGATGGCTGGGCTCGGAGGCCGGCGGACTGGGATCCAGGTCGCAGCTCCAGTGTGCGGCGCGGGCCTGTGCCTTCACCCCGCCGAAGCTCATTGTCTCTACAGCAAGGGCCCCTAGTGCCAGTTTCATCCGGTCATGGCGAGGACTCAGGCTCTGCGGGGCCCTGCAGGAGCTCCGCAGATAGGGACGACGGTGGTGGTGATTCGAGCACTCATTGGTGTAGCTGGAAATTTCGAGGAAGTGGAGGGAGGAGGCGGCTCAGAGACAGCAGTAGGACACAGTTAGACTTGGAGCCGGGAAAAACGGACATCCCGTCACTATTCGGCCCCTGTTGCCAAACCTTGCACTGTTAGATTTTTTTGCTTGCTTTCTCTTGGAAACAACGGTTGCATTTTCCTCCCTTGATTTGAGAAGGAAAAGTTGCATTGCTACCCTAACGGAAATCTCCCTGTAACGTGGCTGGCCGTCGGAAGAAGGAACATTTAACCTGAAATACAATGGAGACCGAACGGTCCGTAAAATCATGGACAGAAACTGGAAGATAACTGAAAAGCGAATAGCTTGTGCATAGGAGTTCGTGTGGCAAGAACCCTTGGATGCAGTCAAGTTGTCTTGTGCTTGGTTGCCAGCTCACGCTACGCATATGACTGGCATTGGGTGAGGGAGGCCCCGCTTTCGCCCTAGCTCACTGGAGATTTATTTCCCTTAATGCCCAAACATTCTCAGGGCTGTGAGTTTACCAACTCACTCAATCCCTGTAACGCCTCCGAGACTAGGAACCCCTGTCGTTCTTGGGCACCCTGGGGAAATGAAGTCGAGAACAATGAAGCCGCTTGCCCAGGGTCAAGGTTAGGAAGTGGTAAAAAATGGGATTTGGATCCAAGACTCCTAAGAGCTTAGTCCAAAGAGCGCTGGCGTTTTAAAAGTCACTCTTAGGTTATTTCCGCTATTCAGAGATGGAGGTGGGCTTCCCAGATGGCGGAGAGAGGAGGCCGAGCCGAGCGGGGATCTCTGTAGGAGCAGGGGCGAGTACCGCACCTAGTGGTTCCAGAAGCATCCACTGAGCCCTCGCGACGGAGAACTCTGGATCTAGTGCCGGGCAGCCCCTGGAGGAGCCTGCCTGGGGCCGTGGGCCCTGCCTCCTGACGCCGGACCTGCCTCTCTCCTCTGCAACCCGGGCTGAGTGTTCCTCTCTCCCCAGGGTGGCTGTGCGGAGTCCCTGAGATGTGTGTGTTCTCAGTTCCTGGCACGTAGTAGACACTCAACAGCACCTACCTCACGGCATCACGATCAAGGAGAACTTGGTATCGAATCCCATTTAAGGTCAGTGGCTAGAAGTGGCGTTGGGCTAATGGGCGCTCCCCCGTGAGTCGAAAGGGGCGAGTAATAGGCCCCACTCAGGAGGCTGTTGGGAGGCATCGGCGTGAGGCCTGGCTCTGGTCCTGGCACGTGGTATGTGAGTCATTCATTTGAAAGGCAGAGTGAGACAGAAATCTTCCATCTGCCGCTTCACTCCCCAGTGTGGCTGCAACAGCCAGGTCTGGGTCAGGCTGAAGTCAGGAGCCAGGAACTCCATCCTGGTCTCCCGCACGCGTGGCAGGGGCCCAGCACTTGGGCCATCTTCTGCTTCCCCGGGTGCATTAGCAGGGAGCTGGATCGGAAGCAGAGCAGCCAGGACTCAGACTGGCCCTCTGATGTGAGGTGCTGGTACCACAAGCTGTGGCTTAACCTGCTGTGCGCCGTGCTGGCTTCTCTCTAACTTCCTGAGAGATGCCTGTCGTGGAGTCTTTGTCCCGTGGTAAACTCCAGAAGGGCAGATGGGTCTGAGTGTCCAGCGCAGGGCTGAGTGATGTCTGCACTCCCGTTTGATCCGTCAGACTCCACAGAAGCTGGAGCGGGCAGGGTGGGCTCTAGTTGGGCAGAGGAGTCTCACATGGGAGGGACTTAGGAAGAGAGTCACAAAGCAGGTGGCAGCTGAGCAGAGGGGAGGAGGTCTTGCCAGGAGGACTCGAGGCGCAGGCGACATCCTGTGTAAAAACCAGGAGGCAGGCAAGGCACCCGATTGGGAGGGAGGGCTGGAGGCTGGGGGTGAGACCAGGCACAGCTGAGTACGCACCAAGCACTGTCTCAGGTACCTTCTGTGTGGCAGCCACGTAGCCCTCGCAGCAGCCTTGAAGGTAAGTCATGTTCGTGCTGTCCCATTTCACAGGTGGGAACACTGAGTCCCGACCCGCGCAGTGACTTGCCAAGGCTACACAGCTAGTGAATGGCAGATCTGGGCTTGAACGCTGCAGCCTGGTTCCAGAGTCCCTACTCTGAACAACTCTGTTATTCCATCAGAGGGGTGGGAGGGGTAGGCTGGGGGATGTGTGAGCACAGAGTGCTGGGCTGGGGGCTCCTGTAGCCCGAGGACGGAGAGGGGGAGGCTCGCTCCTGGGCTGGGGTGGGTGCAGGGGAGCGGAGTGAAGTGAAAGAGCAAGGGGTGAGGCGAGGGGCTCTGTCAGGAAGAGGAGAGGCTTGGCTTGAGGGTCCTGGCGTCTGGGGTCACGGGGTGAATCCTCACCTGTGGAAGTTGCGTCTTTGGTTCCCTTGCAACACTGCTGTTCACAGCCAGAGGACGTCTCCACGGCCGTGCCTGGGTCTCGGACAGCTCTGTGGCGTCTGCTGAGCTCAGCCAAGTGAAAATTGGTTTTCTGTTTCTGCTCTGGGAGCCCATGTCTCTGACCTGTCTCCTCCCTCGCTCGCGCGCCTGCGGCCACGCTGGCTCCTCGCTGTCCCTGAGAGCTGGCTCCTGGCTCGGGACGCTGTGTGTTCTAGAAGAGCCTTCCTCCAGAAAACTGCGTGGCTACTGCCTCCCTCGCCAGGTCTCTGAATGGCACTGAGGTCTTCCCCGATCACTCCGTGGATGGTGGCAGCCTCCTGCCCAGCCATCCATGTCGCTCTGTGACATGACGGGTCTCCTGGTGCTGTGCTGTTAGCTGTTTGCTTGGTTGCTTTCCCTCTCCTCCTCTGTCCCCAAACGGATGCTAAGTTCCATGATTTTTGTTCATCCCAGTGTTCCTAAGTGCTGCACACTTTGTAGGTTCTCAGTGTGTGTGTGCGTGCGTGTGCGTGTGTGTGTGTGTGTCTTTGTTTTCCTTCTGATTTGAGAGGCAGAGAGACAGAGCTTGCTCCTGCTGGTTCACTCCCAAAATGCCTGCAGTGGCCGGGGACTGAAGCCAGGACCCTGGAGCTCAGTCACGGTCTCCTGGGTGAGTGGCAGGAACCCAACTCTGGAGCTGTCACTCTGCCTTCCATGGTTTGCACTGCAGGGAGCCGGGACCTGAAGGCGGGGCTGGGAACTGACCAGGTCTAGGCCAAGTGACCGCCTCCACCGAGAGTCTCTGAGTGGGAGAATGAATGTGTGTTTATGGCTGAAGCCTTGGGCTTGGGTGTCTTTTTTATCTGTGGGGTGTGTGGGGATGGAGCTGTGGACACTTGCTGTCCCTGGGCCTCGTCCCGGGCACAGGCAACAGTTGTGGCAGCTCTGTCACACGCTGACATCCTGCCAGCTGCTCCAGCTATTCATAGGCGGTGAGCCCCCAGCCCAGGAACGCTCTTCTGGCCCACGGAGAGCTGGGCCCCGGGCGCAGGACACACACGGCGGCCGGCAGCCACTCATGGCCCTTTCTCCGCGTTGTGTCTTCCAGGCTCCGGGGAGCAGCACCAGGGCAGGGGACACGATGGTGTCGGTGACTATGGGTGAGTCTCTGGCCTCTCCCCAGGGTTCTTCTCCCGACTGCCCTCTTTGAGGTGTGGCCTTGGTGAGGGGAGGAGGCGGGGGGGGGGGTGCGCGGATCACTGGCAGGGACAGCTGTGCTGGGAGGAACGTGGGGGCGGGGCTGGGCCTTCCCGGGCCTCCTGACTGTGGGCTTTGGCCAGCAAGAACTTGGATTGTGAACTCCGGTCTTGCAGAGCCTCAGTTTTCTCACCTGTGCCCCCGCCACGTCCTGGGGTCAGGGAGGTTGTTCCACGTGAAATCTTGGGCAAAATTCTCTACAAATGGTCGCTGTTCTTGTTGTTGGCTGCCTTATCGTCAGGCTCCCTTTAGGTCTGTGTTTGCGTGTTCCCAGGGCATAGAGATGAGCTGGTGGCTTTGAATAGTTCTTGGGATTTATTGGACGTGCAGAAGAGTGCATGAAACATACTTGGGTTGTTTTGAGAGCAATTGGAAGGCAGGTGTCTGAAGGTATCGCATAGGGTTCCATCGCTGGAATCACAGAGGCAGGACAGCCCGTGTGTTCTGTTGGAAGGTGGAGCTGCTGGTGGGAAGGGGCAGTGAGCAGTGACAACAAAGCCAACAGGAGGGGCTCCTGGATGACTTTCTAGCTCATTTAGTTTTTTTATATTTATTTGAAAAGCCAAGTGATGGAGTGACAGGGAGAGGCACAGAGAATCTTCCCTCTGTTGGTTCATTCGCCAAATGCCTGCATCAGCTGGGGCTGGGCCAGGCCGAAGCCAGGAATCAGGAATTCTCTCTAGGTCTCCTACGTGGGTGGCAGGGCCCACGTGCTTGGGCCATTATCTGCTGCCTCTGAGACGCATTAGCAGGGAGCTGAATCAGAAGTGGGGGCCGACACCGTGGCGCAGTAGGTTGATCTGCGCTGCCAGCATCCCATTTGGGTACTGGTTCTAGTCCTGGCTGCTCCACTTCCGATCCAGCTCTCTGCTATGGCCTGGGAAAGCAGCAGAAGATGGCCCAAGTCCTTGGGCCCCTGCACCCGTGTGGGAAACATGGAAGACGCTCCTGACTCCTGGCTTTGGATCAGCTCAGCTCAGGCTGTTGCGGCCAAGTGGGGAGTGAACCGGTGGATGGAAGGGAGACCTTTCTCTCTCTCCCTCTCACTCTCTGTAACTCTACCTCCCAAATAAATAAATAAAATCTTAAAAAAAAAAAAAAAAAAGGAGGGGCCGGCGCTGTGGTGTAGTGGGTAAAGCAGCTGTCTGCAGTGCCGGCATCCCATATAGGCAGCCGGTTCAAGTCCTGGCTGTTCTACTTGGTATCCAGTTCTCTGCTATGGCCTGGGAAAGCAGTAGAAGATGGCCCAAGTCCTTGGGCCCCTGTACTCATGTGGGAGACCCGGAAGAAACTCCTGGTTCCTGGCTTCAGATTGGTGCAGCTCCGGCCATTGTGGCCAATTGGGGAGTGAACCAGGTAGATGGGAGACCTCTCTCTGCCTCTCTTTCTCTCTCTGTGTAACTCTGACTTTCAAATAAATAAATAAATAAATTAAAAAAAAAAAAAAAGAGTGGAAGTAGACCTGGATTCCATGTACTCTGACAGAGATGCAGGTATCCAAGTGTCAGCTTAACCCATTGTGCCACGAAGCCTGCCCCTGAATGTTTGCAAATTTGTTAATTCAAGAAGCAGAGCAAGAGAGAGGGATTATGTGCTCCTACTGCTGATTCACTGCCCAAATCCCTGAACCGGCCAAGGTGAAGCTGGGAGCCCGGAACTCAACCTCGGCCTCCCTTGTGGGCGGAGTCGTCACTGCTGCCTCTCAGCGTCTGCGTTAGCAGAAAACTTGAGTGAGGAACAGGAGACCATTGTCAGACCCAGGCACTCCAACGTGGGCCGACAACGCGTGCCCTAAGACAAGCCCGCTAGCTTGCTTCCTCCCTCCCTTCCTTCCTTTCTTCCCTCCCACCCTCCCTCCTTCCTTCCTTCCTTAGATTTATTTATTTATTTAGAAGGTAGAGTTCCAGGGGCCAGCGCTGTGGCCTGCAGTACTGGCATCCCAAATGGGCGCCAGTTCAAGTCCCAGCTGCTCCACTTCTGATCCAGCTCCCTGCTAGTGGCCTGGGAAAGCAGCAGAAGATGGCCGAAGTGCTTTGGCCCCTGCACGCACATGGGAGACCTGGAAGAAGCTCCTGGCTCCTGGCCTCAGATTGGTGCAGCTCTGGCCGTTGCGGCCATTTGGAGAGTAAAACAGCAGATAGAAGACCTCTCTCTCTGCCTCTGCCTCTCTGTGACACTGCCTTTCAAATAAATAAATATTTAAAAATAAATAAATAAAAGACAGAGTTCCAGAGAGACAAGAAGAGACAGAGAAAGATATCTTCCATCCACTGGTTCACTCCCCAAATGGCCACAATGGCCAGTGCTGGGCCAGGCTGAACCAGGAGCTTCATCTGGTCTCCCACCTGGGTAGTAGGGACCCAAGTATTTGGGCCATCTTTCCCGGGGAGCTGGATCAGAAGTGGACCAGGCGGGACGTGAACCGGTACCCATATGGGATCCTGGCATCACAGGTGATGGCTTAGCCTTCTGCACCACAGTGCCAGCCCTGAAGTTTTATTTCTTGTTCTCAGTTCTAGTTAACAGGGTTTGTTCGGATAGGAGGACGTGTTGACGTGCATGCATTATAGCTGAATGAGAAGGCTGAGAAAACCAAAGCCCTCCTAGCTGACTAAGTCAAGAGATAGAGGGCTTGGGGTGGATATTGTGGTGTGGCGGGTCCAGCCCTGCTTGGGACACCTGCATCCCATATTGGAGTGCAGATCAAGTTCCAGCTGCTCCACGTCTGATGCGGCTCCCTGCTGATGCATGCTGGGAGGCAGTGGAGGATGGCCCAAGTGCCCAGGCCCCTGCCATCCACGTGGGAGACCTGGCTGGAGCGCCTGTCCTCTGGCTTTTAGCCACCAGCCCTGGCTGTTGTGGGCATTTGGGGGAGTGAAGCAGCGGGTGGTAGACGCTCCTCTACCTCCCTGTGTCCTTCTGCCTTTCAAGTGGATGAGAAGAAACAAAGCATAAGAGGACACAGACCTTGCCGGTTCGGGGAGGGTCCTGTTCCAGTCGCCTGCCCACTCCTGCCATGTTTGTGTACCTGCTCTCTTGGGTTGTGTCCCCACTGGGAGCATCCTTGCTCTGTGGGCTCGGGCTTTGAGCTCACACGAATGAGACCGCCCCATGCGCTCTCTGTGTCTGACTGCTTTTGCTCCACATCCCATTGGAGGGTCGCCTTGGCTGCCAGGCGTAGCTGCACTGTCCTGTCCTTGCCCCTGCCAGGTCGCACTTGACCGTGTGAGTGACTGCCCTCAGTGACTGTTGCTTGGTTTGCGGCAGGAGCACTTGTGGGTGTGCTGCGGGGAGTGTTCTGTGCATGTCCACCAGCTCATAGTCACAGCTCGCCGATGGCGAGGTGCACGCTGGCTGGCAACAGGACGTTTGTCCTGTGGGGTCACTGTCACAGCCGGCCTGTGTGAGGTGGTGGCGTGTGCTGGATGTGGGAGCTTCTGCACCTCCGGGACCCTAGGTTTCAGTAACCTCGTGGTGCAAATCCCAGCCCGAGTCAGAGGCAGAAGGATCCCCTGTCCCGTGTCACACTCATCAGTCGCTTACTAGCGGCGGAGATCCGACTGCCTGTCACACGTTGTCCCTGCTGAAGGGCACAGTCCAGTGGCCTTTAGAGTCTTTCTTCAGAGCCGGGCAGCCAGCACCACAGTGTTTCCACACATTCTCGTCACTTCCCCCATTACCCAGCCCGCCAGCCCCCTGCCCCAGCAACCCCACGTCTCCTTGCCGTCTCTCGAGCTGCCTGCTCTGGACATCCCGTATACCTGGGGTCGTTAGAGGGTGCTCCCTGATGGTGTGACAAAGGGGCCTGTGGCCGGGCAGGCAGACAGCGTCTGTGTACAGCAAGGGCCCTTCCCGCGCTCTCGTCTTTACCCAGTCCCTGAGGGTTGGGGCCAGACAGCACCCTGGTGGAGGGGCTGCTGCGTACTGGGCAGGGTCCTCGTTGTGAGAGGCCTGGCCCACGGCCCTGCCTGTGCCCCATGCGGGCTTCCTCCCCCCCCATTAGCCTCTTACCTGGAGGCCGGCCCTTCCCAGCTCGGAGCCTCACTTGGCCTAAATCCAAGTCTTCTTCGGTACTACCAGGGAGTGCTACATACCAGGAGCAAGGAAGAAAGGGACTCCTCGCACACGGCCCGCCTCAGCCGTGGGCCAGGTCCGAGAGCCTAGTGTCGCAGACCTTCAAGTGTGGGAGGCAGTCGTTCCCCATGGACCAGGCTTTTATCCAACACCCAGCACCGGCCCCGCAGGGCTCCTGCCTGATTGGCCAGGAAGACGCTCGGACACAGGAAGGTTCGTGGGTGGGGGCTGCCTGGTCTCAGCAGGTGGTGGTAATGGTAATGGTCCGGAGAGTCTGCCAGGCACCACAGAAAGTCGCTTTGTGAGATTTTTCACAGCGTCGGCACCATGATCCAAGGACATGGGCACCAAGACGTCAGCTCTGAGGGCAGAGGCCCAGAGCCGCGTGGTGTCCCCGGTGCCGAGGATACGACCTAACCTGTGCCAGGTGCTCATGGGATACTTGTTAAATGTGTTGTCCCCAGTGTGCAGATAAGGTCACTGAGGCCCCATGGGCTAACCTGCCCAAAGTCCCTCAGACAGGAAGTGGCAGAGTTGGGATTTGAACCCAAGCTCCAAAGCCTATGCCAGCAAATCCCACGGCCCTCTGTGAGGTGGGGCTGTGCCTGGGGCAGAGTGGGCTGCCTGAGGCTCTGTGACTTCTCTTTCCATCCTCTGGCTGTTGGGGACCGGGAGCCGTGAGCAGAGGGTGGAGCTTTGGGAACTTTGACCTGGTTAGCCTGTGACCTGGGGTGAGCTGCCCAACTTCCCCCTGCCGGTTTCCTTACTGGAAAATCAAGGGAGCCTTAAAGCTTTATTTATTTCAAACGCAGAGTACACAGAGAGAGAGAGACAGACAGAAAGGGAGGTCTCCCATCCACTGACTCACTCCCCAGATGGCCGCGATGGCTGGGCCAGACTGAAGTCCAGGCTGAAGTCGGGAGCCTGAAACTCGATCTGCATCTCCCACGTGGGCGCAGGGGCCCAAGCAGTTGGTCCGTCTTCTGCTGCTTTCCCAGTTGCATCAGCAGGGAGCCGGATCAGAAGTGGAGCAGCCGGGTCTCAAACCGGCGCTCATATGGGATGTTGACGTTGCAGGCGGCCGCTTAACCCGCTACACCACAGCGCTGGCCTCCTCCAGGGGGCCGGAATACCACTTAACACCCTGTGTAGAGAGTGCTTTGCTCCCTGTGGAGCGTTCACTGAGCCGAGCACGTGATGGGCGTTTAATCTGTGGGAGCCGCTGCTGTTGCGGTTTTGCTGCTGTGGTCTCTAAGGAGGATGCTGGGAATAACGAGCCCTGTCCAACCACACAGCCACTTCCGAGTGGATCCAGTTCTTCAAGGAAGCCGGCATTCCTGCAGGACCTGCTGTCAACTACGCCGTGATGTTTGTGGACAACAGGTGAGGGGTCGGGGCGCGGGAGCTGGCCGGCCCCGTGGGCGGGCCCTCTCGGGCCTCACCGCTGCCCCGCCCGCAGGATCCAGAAGAGCATGCTGCTGGACCTCAACAAGGAGATCATGAACGAGCTGGGTGTGACCGTGGTGGGCGACATCATTGCCATCCTCAAGCACGCCAAGGTGGTGCACCGCCAGGTGGGTGCCCTGCCGGCCCTGTCCTTGGGGGACCCTGTCCCTGGGGGGGCCCTGTCCCTCGGGGGGCTGTGGGGGCAGTTACAGAGCCAGGGGAGGCTGGCAGCAAGTGCAGGCTGACCTGGTGCCGGGGCTGCTTTGTTCACGTGCTGGGTGACATCGGGCGTGTCATCTGACCTCTCTGAGACTAACTTCTCCGTCTGAAACCAGAGAGGAAGACGTGCCTTGGAGGATTTGTACGTATATATACGTGGGAGCCATTCCAGTCTTGCCCCTGCACCTACGGTCACCCCCCATCCGGTCTCTCTGAAACCGGCTGCATGGAGTGGCCCTAACTGTGTATGTGCCCAGCCTGCAGCACAGTGCTTATTACGTTAAAATGGCAAACCCTTTGCGAGAGCACGCTGTGGCCTGCCACACCCCGTCCCCGCCCCGCGTGCCCTGAACCCCTTGGCCGAGGGAAGCGCGCTGCAGAGCTGCGCTTGTGGGCTCCCCCACCCCCGAGCTGCGGCCCCTGCTACTGTGTGTCATCCAGGACGGGACCCCCCTGTCTTGTGCCACTTGTCACGGGGAAGGCCACCAAGTGAAACAGTTCTTTTCTTTAAGTTTCTTAACGTGGGGCCGCATTTAGATTTATGGAAGAGAGCCAGCACCAGTGCAGGTGGTGTCCGTGGCTCCTCGGCCTGGTGTCCCTGGTGTTAACACCGTACACGGCTGTGGTACGTTTGCCGAGACCAAGACGTGAGCGTGAGTGCGCAGCTGTTAACTAAGCTGCAGGCCCTGGATTTCTTCTGCTTTTCCCCCAGTGTGTGCCAAAATCCAGGCCAGATACCACCGCACGGCACTTCCCATGTCTCCCGGGTCCCTCCTGGGACGGGGTCACTTGTTTTTTGGTGACCCTCGCAGCTCTGGGGAGTCCTGGCCGTGCGTTTTCTGGGACGCCCTTCCCTCCGAGTGGGCCCGATGCCGCCTCCTCTTTGGAGCCACGCGTGTTAAACACTCCTTTTCATCATCTTGGTGTCACCAGATCCCTGGGTCCCCGACTGCTGTGGTAACCCAGGTCCCTCTCCGTGACAGGACATGTGCAGAGCTGCCACTGAGTCTGTGCCCTGCAGCCCCAGCCCCCTCCCAGGCGACATCCGCCGAGGCGCCTCCAGTGGTGAGTCCCGTTGGTTCCGGCCGCTTGCACTCCGGGGAGGAGACACTGGGGTCATCCTGTAGGTGGGAGAGGGGACGAGGGTCCCCAGGGAGTGAGTGGCATATGCACGGATCCTCCAAGTGGCACCTGGGTTTTGTGACGTCACAGGCCTGAGCCATTGCTCCTGGGGCACACGTGCTCAGGTTCCGACCGGCCTCTGGGAACGACATTTCCACACAGCCTTCCTTTTTCATACTTGGATTTATTTGAAGGCAGAGAGACAGGGATCATCCGTCAGGCGGTCCACACGCCCCACATGCCCGGAACCCATAGACGGCTTCTCAAATAAGATAACTAAGAAATGGGAAAAAATGCAATTAAAAAAGGTTTTGACCGTACAGACTCCACTCTGTGGTTTAAAGCCCAGACGTTTATTTCATGATGGCGTGAGCTGGCCGGTCGCCTCTGCCCTGGGCCGGCTCAGTGGCGCGTGTCACCTGCGCCAGCAGGAAGGACTGGTCACGTGTTTCCCCCATCACGGGGGCTGGCTCGGGCTTGTTCACCCGCTGGAGGCTGCCCCATCCGAAAAGCAGCAGCAAAGGACGAAGCACCTGTTGAGTCTCTGCTTACGGAACAGTTGCCGCCATCCCATTGGGCGAAGCCAGTCACGTGGCTAGGCCCAGAGTCGGGGGTGGGCAAGGCCCATGACCGTGTCCGGCTGACTTCAGTGAGAGCTCCCCACGACAGCCAGGAAAGGGGTCACTGCTGCAGCTGGCTGTGGATGGCATGGCAGGCGGGACGCTGCTGTAGCCAGCAGCCAGGTCCAGAGCCAGAAACGTGACCCATCGCCTAGAATTCCCTCCGGATCACGCCCTCTCTCTGGTTCCTCACTGACCAGATTTTAAAAAATAAAAATTCATTTGAGAGGCAGAGAGCACGTGCTCCGCACCTGCTGGTTCAACAGCCAAATGCCTGCAACAGCCAAGGCCGAGCCGAGCGAGGGCTGGGAGCTGGACTCAGTCTGGGTTCCCGTGTGCGCCGCCAGGCCCGGCCACTTGAGCCGTTGCTGCAGCCTCCCACTCTGGGTGTCAGCAGGAAGCTGGAATTGGGAGCGGAGAGCGGAGGAAACCCCAGGCGTCCCAGCCAGGCGCCTGCCCCATGGTGTTCTCTTCGGGCATTTACTGAGGGCCTAGAAAGGGCCAGAAGCTGTCCCACACGCTGGGGCTACGCAGGACTCCGGCCTTGCCTCCTCCTCAGCTGCTGGTCTTGGACTGGTCAGGAGGCCACCAGCAAACAAGCCCACCTCAGTGCCGGGTGTGATGAGGGTGGGTGGCGGAGTGGACGGGAGCTGCTCAGGGTGGCACTGCCGTCAGCCAGGAACCCCGGCGAGCCTGTGGTTCCCCACCAGAGGGGCTGCCGCGATGTGGGTGGGACGGGTGAGGTGTGTTGGCAGCCAGGCTGCCCAGGGCCTCAGGGATCCCCCAGGGCAGGGAGGGTGGGCTGGTTCCCAGGAGGAGTAAGTCACCCCCATCGCCCAGCATCTCCCTCCTGGGGACAGTGCGGCTGCAGGGGTGGCACGGGCTGCCCTTCCTCCTTCAGTCCTGGGACCCTGCCCAACCAGCTTCTCCCTTTCGCCCTCCTCAGCCGCCTCCCGGATGATTGCCAACAGCCTGAACCGCGACTCCCCGCCCGGCACGCCCTCCCGGCGGCCGGACACCAGCACCTCCAACATCTCCGTCACTGTGTCCAACAAGATGGCAGCGAAGAGTGCCAAGGCCGCTGGTGAGGGGCTCAGGCAGCGGGGGTGGGGAGCGGGGAGCGAGGTACCCAGGGCACTGGTGCCCCACCTTGCAAAGTGCTGTGACAGCCGCAGGGTGCACAGAGCACGATGGGCTTGGGCGCCTCTGAACTTGTCATGGCCGTGGGCGGCGGCAGCAGCTCCCAAGGAGATGCAGGAAGTCCCGTGTCCCACAACCCACTCAGCGCTCCAGTCTTCTTTTAAATTTAAAGACTGATTTATTTATTAGAAGGGGAGAATGGCAGAGAGAGAGTGAGAGAGAGAGTTCTCCCATCTGCTGGTTCACTCCCCCAGATAGCCACAACGCACAAGGCTGTGCCAGGAGCCTGGAACTCCATCTGGGTCTCAGGTGGGGAGCAGGGGCCCAAGCACTTGGGCCATCTTCCAGTGCTTTCCAGGCACCTTAGCAGGGAGCTGGGTCAGAGGCAGAGCAGCTGGGCCTGGAGCTGTCACTCTGATGTGGACGCTGGCATCGCAGGGCAGCCCAGCTCCCTGTCCCGCATGGCTGGCCCAGTCTTCTTAGACAAATGTTGCCCGCTGAGTTGCACCTGAGGCCTGGGCTCAAAGGTGGAGAACCCATGGCCTCCCCTGAGCACCAGAGGCTCCTTTGAGGCCTCCAGGGTGTCCCTGAGACGTTGTCTGCGACCTCCAGGGCTGCCTGAGACTCGGAGCATCAACTCCAGGCTCCCACGGCCATCTGGGGTCCTGCTCTGTGCGCCTCCTTTCCCTCCGGGGCTTTGCTGCTCAAGCTGCCTTCCCTGCTCCTCTTCCAGGTCTCAGCTCAGGCGCTCAGGTCCTCCCCCTGCATCGTGGCCTGTGCCTCGCCCTGCCCACCCCACCCCTCAGGCATGGTGAGGAGCCGAGGCCACAGGGCTTCAGTTTTCCACGCCCCTTCCTGTCACTCCTGTTCCCCTCTTGGCTGTTGGTTGGTGTGCTGTGAGTCCTGAGCAAGGAAGTTCAGGTTCACGTGTAAAGTGTTGGAAAGATGGCGAATCTTGGAGGGAGCTCTTTCACCCCTTAACCCATTTGGGGGGATTATTTTTTTATTTATTTTTATTTATTTGACAGGTAGAGCTATAGACAGTGAGAGAGAGACAGAGAGAAAGGTCTTCCTTCCGTTGGTTCACTACCCTAATGGTTGCTACGGCCGGCGATGCACCGATCCGAAGCCAGGAGCCAGGTGCTTCCTCCTGGTCTCCCATGTGGGTGCAGGGCCCAAGCACCTGGGCCATCCTCCACTGCCTTCCCAAGCCACAGCATAGAGCTGGACTGGAAGAGGAGCAACCGGGACTAGTACCTGCCACCCCAACTGGGACTAGAACCTGGGGTGCCGGCGCTGCAGGTGGAGGATTAGCCAAGTGAGCTGCAGTGCCAGCCATGGGGTGATTATTTTCATAAACACTGAGGTACAATATAATTTGTGCTTTGGATTCTTTTTGAAAACTGGGCATGCCTGCGTCCAGCACTGTGGCTCAGCAGGTAGAGCTGCCTGCCTGCAGTGCTGGCATCCCATATGGGCGCCAGTTGGAGTCCCGGCTGCTCTACTTCCGGTCCAGCTCTCTGCTATGGCCTAGAAAAACAGTGGAAGATGGCCCAAGTCCTTAGACCCTGCACCTGTGTGGGAGACCCTGAAGAAGCTCCTGGCTCCTGGATTCAAATAAGCCCAGCTTCCGCCTTGCGGCCATTTGGGGAGTGAACCAGGATGGACGATCTGTCTTTCTCTCTCTCTCTGCCTCTCTGTAACTCTTTCAAAGAAATAAATGTTAAGGGAAAAAAAAAATTGGGCATACCTGTGGAAGCAGGGCCTAGATGGGTTCTAGAATGTTCTACCACCCACAGCTTCCTTGTCTGAGGAGATTCGGGCTGGGGTGGGTGTGAGCCTGTTTGGGGTAGGGACGGAGCCACAGAGAGCATGGCGGGGGGCACAGCCTGGGAACCTCGAGCCCTGTCTGTGACCCCATCTTATCCAGAGTTCGGAGGTTCTCGGTGGTTCCGTCAGTGGGAAGGTAGGGGATCCAAGGGCGCCATGACCAGAACCTCCTGTCCCAGGCGGCTGACCCTCTCCCCTCCCTCCCAGCAGCCCTGGCCCGCAGGGAGGAGGAGGTCCTGGCGATCCCCACCAAGCGGCGCCGGGTCACGGCCGAGATGGAGGGGAAGTACATCATCAACATGCCCAAGGGCACCACGCCGCGCACCCGCAAGATCCTGGAGCAGCAGCAGGCGGCGAAAGGTACCGGCCCGGCGGGCATGCCTCTGTGCGGGCCGCATGGCACGGCCAGGGCGCGGCGGGGTCCGGGAGGAGGCTCCGCGGGGCGGGGCGGCCTGAGAGCGCTGGGCGGGGTCGCGTGGCGCTGCAGGGCCCTGGTTGAGATTCGCTCCCCGCCAGGGTTTGTGACCGGCGTAGGTGGTCTTCCTTGCGTAGGAGCGTTTTAGAACGTGCGGCCTGTTCGCACGGAGACTGTGGAAGGGTGCGCAAGCGGAGACTCAGGGTTCCCACCGGTGCCCCCTCGCGGCCGCATCCCGCCTCTGCCGATGCCAGTCCACACCAGCACCTGTGGACTTGCGTGCCTTTTGCGCAGGTACGATAGCATCCTCCTCTAGGGATTGTTCTGCAACTGTTTTATCAAGAGGTTTAACATTAGGGCATATAGGTCTACTTCAGTCTTTTCTTTGAAAGAAAAGAGATGCAGAGAGATTTCCCATCCTCTGGTTCACTTCTCAAATGCCCACAATGGCTGGGCCTTAGCCAGGAGCCAGAAGCGATCCAGGTCCTCCACGTGGGCCCCAGCTGCTTGAGCCGCTGCCCTCAAGGTGTGGGTTAGCAGGAGGCTGGGACTGGAAAGTCGGGACTCGAATCTGGGATTTTTTATTTTTATTTTTTTAAAGATTAATTTATTGATTTAAAGTCAGAATTACATACAGAGAGGGGAGACAGCTGGTTAACTCCCCAAATGGCCAATGATGGGGACTGGGCCAAGCTGAAGCAAGGAGCCAGGAGCTTCTTCTGAGTCTCCCACAAGGGCGCAGAAGCCCAAGGACTTGGGCCTTCTTCCGCTGCTTTCCCAGGCACATCAGCAGGGAGCTGGATCAGAAGTGGAGCAGCCGGGTCTTAAACCAGCGCCCATACGGGATGCCGGCCCAGTAGACAGTGGCTTAACCCACTGCACCACGGCACTGGCCCTGAATCCAGGCATTTCGATATGGGATGCTGGCATCCCAACTGGTATTTTAACCGGTAGGCCAAAGGGCCTGCCCCGACGTCGTTCTTTGCTAATGATCATTTGTTATTTCCCTGGTATTTACACACAGTAATTCACTGAGCACTCCCCTCCGTGGCTATTTATGTCGTTGTGTAGGGAGCACTCGGCACCCAGCAGAGGCTCTCGGAGGCCCATGACCCCTGGACACAGAGCAGAAATGTAGGGATGAAGAGCTCTTCCATGTGGTGGGCACAGTGGTGAAGACGCCACTCAGAATGCCTGGTGCTGGGGGCCTGGTTCAAGTCCCAGCTCCACTTCCGACCTGAGTACCAGCAGGTGATGGTTCAAGTACCTGGGTCCCTGCCGCCTACCTGGGAGACCCAGACTGAGTCCTGGCTCCCCGGTCCTAGCTGTTGTGGGGGTTTGGGAAGTAAATCAGCGGAGAGATCTCGGCTGTCTCTAATAATGAAAAAAGAAAATAAGTAAATATTTAAAGAAAGCGCTCTCCCATTCTCATTTCGTGAACTTTTTTCTTTTTTTTTTTCTAAAAAAGATTTATTTATTTATTTGAAAGTCAGAGTTACACACAGAAAGAAGGAGAGGCAGAGAGAAAGAGAGGTCTTCTATCCACTGGTTCACTCCCCAATTGGCCGCAATGGCTGGAGCTGCACCAATCCAAAGCCAGGAGCCAGGAGCTTCTTCTGAGTCTCTCACAGGGGTGTAGGGGCCCAAAGGACTTGCGCCATCTTCTGCTGCTTTCCCAGGCTATAGCAGAGAGCTGGATCAGAAGTGGAGCAGCCGGGACTAAACCGGCGCCCATATGGGATGCTGACACTGCAGGTGGCGGCTTTACCTGCCATGCCACAGCGGGCCCCCCCCTTTAAGATTTATTTATGGGGCTGGCATTGTGGCAAAGTCCTTTGGGCCCCTACACCCGTGTGAGAGACTTGAAAGAAGCTCCTGGCTCCTGGCTTTGGATTGGCGTAGTTCCAGCCAGTGTGGCCAACTGGAGAGTGAACCAGTGGATAGAAAACCTCCCTCTCTCTCTCTCTCTCTCTCTCTCTCTATTGCTAACTCTGCTTTTGACTCTCTCTAAATCTGACTTTCAAATATACTTATTTGAAATAATTAGAGGGGCTGGCACTGTGGTGCAGCAGGTTAAAGCCCTGGCCTGAAGCGCCAGCATCGAATATGGACACCAGTTCTAGTCCTGGCTGCTCCTCTTCCAATCCAGCTCTCTGTTATGGCCTGGGAAAGCAGTAGAAGATGGCCCAAGTCCTTGGGCCCCTGCACCCGTGTGGGAGACCCAGAAGAAGCTCCTGGCTCCTGGCTTTGGATCAGCACAGCTCCGGCTGTTGCGGCCATCTGGGGAGTGAATCAGCAGATGGAAGGCTTCTCTCTCTGTCTCTACCTCTCTCTGTAACTCTGTCTTTCAAATAAATAAAATAAATCTTTTAAAAAAAAGAATTAGATAAAGAAAGAGAGAGAGAGATCTTCCTTCCACTGGTTCACTCTCCAAATGTCCTCAAACCCCAGAGCTGGGCCAGGCTGAAGCCAGGAGCCAGGAGCTTCTTCTGTGTCTCCGTGTGGGTGCAGGGGCCCAAACACTTGGGCCATCTTCTGCTGCTTTCCCAGGTGCATTGTTAGGGAGTTGGATCGGAAGTAGAGCAGCTGGGACTTGAACCAGCGCCCTTATGGGATGCCTGCGCTGCAGACAACAGTTTAACCCGCTGCGCCACGGCACCTGTCCCTCATTTCGTGAACTTGTACAAAGGTGCAAGGAGAGTGTTGGCTGTTGCTCTTCCCCGCGCTTGATGCCAGCCAGGGGTGTGTGGGTCACGGTGAGTGTTAGGCAGCAGAGCAGACACCAGTGGCGATGCGGCACAGCCTGCCCTGCCCGAAGCAGAGCTGATGGCGTCTGGCCGCGTCTTGTCTCCTCCAGGGCTCCACAGGACGTCCGTGTTTGACCGCCTCGGCGCCGAGACCAAGGCAGACACGACAACAGGGAGTAAAGTGAGTTGGGAATGGGTGGCGGTGCTGGACTGGTAAGCCCTTGTCTTTCCCAGGCTGCCTCCTGATGCCCCGCGCCCTCTGCCCCCGGGCCGTCCCACCCGCCTTCCCAGCCTCAGTTTCCCCTCTTCCCTGTCTCCTGACTTCGGTGCCAAAGCTCCAGCAGACTTTTGGATGCTACCCACCCACCACGTCCCACACTGGCCTCAGGGTCTTCCCCCGCGGCAGCCCCCTCCTGGCCCTGGCCCAAGGACGCCTGTCTCCGCCCGTCTCTACCTCCTGTGCCACCTGGCCCTGTCCGGACAGCGCAGCCGCTGCCCCCTGCTCCAGCCCCGCCCCCACCGCAGCAGTGGTGCAGCCACAGGGTGGGCCCATCCTCCCACGGTGCAGACCCTCAGGAGACCCCCCCTTCTCGCTGCGACCTGCAGTCCCGTGGGCCCCAGGCACAGCGAGTGGTTAGGACACACCCAAGCACCCACTGCCGCCTGCACATGTGGCCTTGGCCGTGTCATCTGTCCAGTGCTCAGCCCGTAGCAGGGTTGTGAGCTCCCCGCTGCGTCCCCTCCCTCTCCTGCCCACCAGGCACTGCCCCTCTGGCTGTCTCTCGCTTCCTGGAATCTCATCACGGGGATGAGAATAACACTCAAGCTCGAAGATGCAGTCACCTGAAGAGCTTGGCTCTTCGGGCTCAGTAACATGACCCCATCCCCACCTGAGTGGCAGGCACCTGCTCTTCCCATGGGGTCCCAGAGGACACGAGCCCGCCTCCTGCCCTGCAGCACCCCACCCCTGGCTGCACAGGCCTCTGTCTTAGGGTCAGTGTCCTGTCTGATTTCTGACCCTCACGCCCATCCCACCCTGGACTGTGAGCACCCTAAGGCTGGGGCCGGGGCTGTCTGGGTCACCACTGTGTCCCCAGCCCGCCCAGGACCGCGTGCGGAGTTGGAACTCAGGAAGTACTTGTAGAGTGAGTGACCAGGCTGGTCCTCTGCTCCTGCTCTCTTACGCACCCTGTGGTGATCTGCCCTCTGTGTGCCGCATGCCTTCTTCCCTCTCTTTTTTAAAGATTTATTTATTGATTTGAAAGAGTTACAGAGGGGCTGGCACTGTGGCGTAGTGGGATGCAGTGCCGGCATCCCATATGGGCTCCAGTTCAAGTCCTGGCTGTTCCACTTTCGATCCAGCTTTCTGCTGTGGCCTGGGGAAGCAGTAGAAGATGGTTCAAGAGCAGGAGCAGAGGACCAGCCTGGTCACTCACTCTACAAGTACTTCCTGAGTTCCAACTCCGCACGCGGTCCTGGGCGGGCTGGGGACACAGTGGTGACCCAGACAGCCCCGGCCCCAGCCTTAGGGTGCTCACAGTCCAGGGTGGGATGGGCGTGAGGGTCAGAAATCAGACAGGACACTGACCCTAAGACAGAGGCCTGTGCAGCCAGGGGTGGGGTGCTGCAGGGCAGGAGGCGGGCTCGTGTCCTCTGGGACCCTGTGGGAAGAGCAGTCCTTGGGCCCCTGTACTGCATTGGAGGCTGGGAGGAAGCTCCTGGCTTCACATCAGCTCAGCTCTGGCCATTGTGGCCAATTGGGGAGTGAACCAGCAGATGGAAGACCTCTTTCTCTATCTCTTCTTCTCTCTCTGTGTAACTCTGATTTTCAGATAAATAAATAAATCTTTAAAAAAAAGTTATAGAGAGGCCAGTGCTGCGGCTCACTAGGCTAATCCTCCGCCTTGTGGCGCCGGCACACCGGGTTCTAGTCCCAGTCGGGGCACCGGATTCTGTCCCGGTTGCCCCTCTTCCAGGCCAGCTCTCTGCTGTGGCCCGGGAGTGCAGTGGAGGATGGCCCAGGTGCTTGGGCCCTGCACCCCATGGGAGACCAGGAGAAGCACCTGGCTCCTGCCATCAGATCAGCGTGGTGCACCGGCTGCAGCGCGCCGGCTGTGGCGGCCATTGGAGGGTGAACCAACGGCAAAGGAAGACCTTTCTCTCTGTCTCTCTCACTGTCCACTCTGCCTGTCCAAAAAAAAAAAAAAAAAGTTACAGAGAGAGAAGAGTCAGAGAGAGGTCTTCCATCTGCTGGTTCACTCCCTCAATGGCCACAACAGCCAGTGCCGGGCCAGGCTGAAGCCAGAAGCCAGGCGTTTCATCCTGTTCTTCCATGTGGGTGCAGGGCCCAAGCATTTGATCCATCTTCCACCGCTTTCCCAGGCCAGTAGCAGAGAGCTGGGTTGGAAGTGGAGCAGCTGGGATACCAACTGGTGCCCACGTGGGATGCCAGCATCGCAGGCGGCTTAACCCGCTTAACCTGTTGGACCACAGCGCCGGCCCCTCTTCCCTTTCTTTACTGGACCCAGCTCTGTTGTCCCCTCCCCTCCTGCAGAGAGCCTCCCCCAGGCCCTCCCTGCCATGTGGGGGTCACCGGTGTGAGGCCAGGCACAGAGCGGGGGGTGTGGTGAGTGACCGCGTGGCTCACTCGTCCTGTCTCTGACCTCCACAGCCCACAGGAGTCTTCAGCCGCCTGGGGGCCACCTCGGAGCTGGATGAGGACGTGGCTTGGGACAGTGACAACGACAGCAGCAGCTCTGTCTTGCAGTATGCCGGGGTCCTGAAGAAGCTGGGGCGGGGCCCGGCCAAGGCCAGTCCCCAGCCAGCTCTGACTGTCAAAGCCAAGGCCACCAGCTCGGCAGCGAGCACCACCCCAACGCTGCGGCGCCTGTCGCTGTCCGCACGCCCCGGACTTGAGAGGAAGCCGGAGCCCCTGGCCAAAGTCAGCATCATCCAGAGACTGGGCAAGGCCGCCCTCGCGCCGGAGGCCCAGGACAGCCAGGTCACGAGCACCAAGAGTAAGTCCTCCACCGAAGTCAAGGTCACCATTAAGAGGACTCTGGTGGGGCCCCGGAGCAGCGGCTCCAGTGAGGGCCTTGGTGCCCAGATGGATCACGCCGGCAGCGTGAGCGTGTTCAAAAGACTGGGCCGCCGGACCTTCTAGCCCACGTGGGGCGGGGGGCGGCAGCTCCGCAGGGGTGCGCCCCGCGCTCCTGGGCCGAGCCTTGCTGTGAGGCCTCCCTCGCCCTCCCACCGGCTCCTGGACGTCGAACTTGGCACCCGACAGGGAGGGTGGGACCCGGCCTCGTCCGCACTGGGACTCTCTCCCCTCACGCCCTCTGCTCTGTTCTCTGGCCATGGCCGTGGCCTTTTCTACCTCTCCCAGCGCTGGGTGTCCTCCCTTGCCTCCATCCCCCTCCTCCCACCTGGAGGAGCTGCCCTCGCCTGCCCCCCTCTCCCCGCGGCCGTGACTGCGCCCCGGCTGCCTCTGTCTCCTCCGCTCATTTCTCTTCTGTTTTCTGTCCCTGTGGCAAGGCCCGACTGTGCGCTGCGTCCTGCCTGACCCTCCTGCACCTGCGGCCTCCCGGCGGCCCCGGCGACGGTGGCGCTGAGCCTGTAGAGCCTGTGGCTGCCCTCCGCTGCCCAGACCCTGGGCTGCGGCCGCGGCACCTCCGTTTTCCCGCCTGGGGCGTCTTGTTCTCCGAAGGTCCGTGCGGTGGCGGGCGAGGGGCGCTGGGAAGGGAGGGCGGTGCCGAGAGCGGAGCCCACGGCTGGTTTAATAGATTTTTGTGACTTCCAAACCGTCTCCTTCCCCTCCTTCAGGGTGAGTCAGGCGCAGGGTGGGTGGGTGGGGGCTCTGTCCCCCTCAGAGCAGACTCCTCCCCCCGCAAGGCCTCGCTGCTGTCACTCGCCCCCCCCCACCCCCGACTGCACCTGTTGCTGCCGCTCTCCCCGCTGGTGTTGGCGGCTTTCCACCTGCGGGCTCCGTGTGCAAAGAGCTGGGTTTCTGTCCGTTTGGGCCTCAGCCCCTGACTGCTGCACAGCCCCCACTCTGTGCTGGGAGCCCACACATGGCTGAGCTCCAGTGAGGGAGACAGTGTGCAGGAGCCAAGGGTTGGGGGCACTGGTGGGCGGGGTCAGGTGTAAGAGGGCCTATGAGAGCAGGTGACGCCCAGGCTGAACGGGAGCAGGTGGGGTGGGCAGGCAGAAGTCAGCCACTGTAAAGGCCCGCAAGTGAGGGACCTGCCGTCCAGCCCTGCGGTGGGTGATAGACAGGAAGCAGGTGCCCCGGGGCTCTGTGGGAAGTGGACTTGGCCTGAGAGCGAGGAGTTCGGGAGGGTCTGAGGCAGGGGCGATGGCCAAATTCCTGTTGTAACCGTGGCTCTGGCTGCTGTGAGGACAGCGAGGTGGTCGCCTCTGCAGTGTCCAGGCAGAACACAAGGTGGCGTGGGGGGAGAGCAGCAGGAGGCGCTGGTGGGGAGGGTGTTGGGAGTCACTCCTGTGTGGTTTAGACCTGAGCGTCTGGGGGAAGGGTTGTTGGCTGGGATGGGGGCCGGGGTGGGGGAATGGGGACAGGAGCAGGTCGTGGAGGTGGGAACTCTGTTCTGACCGTACTGAGGGGGTGCCCGCCGGGGCTCCAGGTGAACAGGTGGAGCCAGCAGGTTGGGGTGCCGCTGGAGTCAAAGCCAAGGCCTGGAGAGCCGAGCACAGGGACCGGGGCCCCGACCGGGCATTGGGGGTGTGATCAGGGAGGCAGCCAGGTGGTCGTCAGGAGAAAATGAGGTCAGACCTCACCCACTGATGACGTTTTATTGTGGGCAAATATGCACAACATAAAATTGACCATTTTAACCATTGAAATTTAGAAGAATTATTTGAAAGGCAGAGAAACAGAGACCTTCCCATGTGCTAGTTCATTCCCCAAATGCCCGCAACAGCCAGGGCTGAAGTCAGGAGCCAGGAACTCAGTCCAGGTCTCCCGTGTGGGTGGCTGGAACCCAAGCACTGGAGCCATCACCTGTGCCTCACAGGGTGCGCGTTAGCAGGAGGCTGGACGGGGAGCGGAGGGGCCAGGACTCGGGTGAGGGCGTCCCCAGCAGCAGCTTAACCGCTCCGGTTCGGCTGTTTTGAGGGCATGGTTCCCTGCCATTCTGGGCACTTGTCACGTCCGTCCACCTCCAGGAAGTTCATCTTCCCAACCGGTCACCCGTTTATTTAAGGTGTCCAGATGCTGTGCATGGGGTGTGAAGGGCTGGGCTTCAGGATGGGGACAAGAGCAGAGAGCTGTGCAGACGCCCTTCCCGGTGAGGGCCCAGGCTGGACCTTCCCCGGGACTGACCGGTTGAGGCTGTCATTTCAGAGTCTGCGCCTTCCCGTCAGTGCCACCAGGGGGCGCTCACACATGCCTGTGCTCCTTGCAGTGTGTCAGCCCTTACGGTTTCCCTACTAATTTCTTGGGTTCCATGGCATGGTAATTTTAACAGCGGCTTGGATCAACTGGAAGAGCCCCAGTGACTAAATTTAAGAGCATGCGGTAATTTCTTTATGTGTAACAGAAGCTACAGTGACATAAAACACCACAGACAGACACAGTTTAAAAGTTCACGGAGGGAGGGTGTTTGGCGCGGCAGTGATCAAGGTGCCCCTGTGGCCGCTCGCATCCAAGTAAGACCACCTGTGCTCAGGGCCTGGCTCTGCCTCCCATCCGGCTTCCTGCTGATGTGCGTCCTGGGAGGCAGCAGGTGATGGCTCGAGCGCTGGGGCCCCTTGGCCTGAGAGCGAGGTGGACGGCTCTCATGGGAGAATGGATGGAATTCCTGGCCCCTGGCTCTGGGCTGGCTCCGCCTGAGCTGTTGCAGGCCTTTTGGAGAGAGAACCAGCAGATGGAAGATCTTTCTCTGTCTGTCTCCTACTCTCTTTCAAATAAAAATGAAAATGAAATTTTTTAAATGCTGCCTTTAAAGAAAATATATTTTTTAAACAGTTCATGGAAAATGGAGCTAGAAGATAAGTTTATTTTGGTGCAAAATTTTTGAAATTATGTTTTTTTCATAATATGCACCTTTTTTGAAAATTTTTTTTTTTTTTTTTTTTTTTTGACAGGCAGAGTGGACAGTGAGAGAGAGAGACAGAGAGAAAGGTCTTCCTTTGCCGTTGGTTCACCCTCCAATGGCCGCCGCGGCCGGCGCGCTGCGGCCGGCGCACCGCGCTGATCCGATGGCAGGAGCCAGGAGCCAGGTGCTTTTCCTGGTCTCCCATGGGGTGCAGGGCCCAAGCACCTGGGCCATCCTCCACTGCACTCCCTGGCCACAGCAGAGGGCTGGCCTGGAAGAGGGGCAACCAGGACAGAATCCGGTGCCCCGACCGGGACTAGAACCTGGTGTGCCGGCGCCGCTAGGCGGAGGATTAGCCTAGTGAGCCGCAGCGCCGGCCTGAATTTTTTGAAGATTGTTGTCTACCTGACTTTGGAAGGTTCACCTACGCCAGGTGAGTTCTGCCATTGCTGCTCTTTTTTTTTTTTTTTTCTTTTAATAATTTTTTTAAAAAAAATGATTTACTTATTTATTTGAAAGGCAAAGTTACAGAGAGAGGGAGAGACAGAGAGAGAGGTCTTCCATCCACTGGTTCACTCCCCAGATGGCTACAATGGCTGGAGCTGAGCCAATCTGAAGCCAGGAGCCAGGAGCTTCTTCTGGGTCTCCCACATCAGTGCAGGAGCCCAAGGACTTGAGCTATTTATTCTTCACTGTTTTCTCAGGCCATAGTAGGGAACTGGATCAGAAGTGGAGCAGCCGGGTCTTGAACTGGTGTCCATATAGGATGCCAGCACTGCAGGTGGAGGCTTAGCCTACTGCACCACAGTGCCAGCCCGTCTTTCAAGAATTTTTAAAACTTTATTTGAAAGGCAGAGTTACAGAGAGAGAACCCACGGTCTGCCCCTGGTGTATCCGTCCCGCGGCGCCTTGTGTGTACACCACGTTCCATGAGAGCGGGAGCAGAGCCACAGGGCCCACGAGAGCTTCTGTTTTGCAAGGTTGAGTCCACAGCGTCTGTGTTGTGAGAAGTGGATGCTGGCCACAAGCAGGTCTATCTGAGGATGCTTCTGGTCTTTCCCCCAGCGACAGTGGCTGGCTGTCCAGTCACCTGGCGCCGGCTGCCCCCTCATTTCCCTGTTTTGTTTGGTGGAAGCTGGCATAAACCGACACTCATGGCTGCACAGATTTGAATGCTGGGCTGAGGCGGGGGCTCGGAGCCTGTGAACCTGCAGTGGCTGGAGCGGAGGCCTCCTAACGCTGCCTCTTCACCCCGCACGTGCTTTGCAGCATAGCAAGTCCTGGGAGAGAAGCAGGGGCCAGGAACTCAATCCAGGTCTCCCGTGTGGGTGGCAGGGAGGCGGGGTCTTGTGCCGCCACCTGCTGCCTTCCACGGTGCACATTAGCAGGAAGCAGGGACCTGCGGGGAGCTGGGACTTGAACCCAGGCGCTCTGACACGGAACCGTGGGCATCTTAACGCCCCGGCCAAACACTGCCGCTTTTTGCCCTTTGATGGAGTGTAACGATGCAGAACTTGTGCCCTAGAGCTGTGTGGTCGTGGACAAGTTACCCAACTTCTCTGTTTCAGTTTCTTCTGCACTAACATGGGAACTATAATAGCAGCCACCCCATGGGGATGACTGCAGGTTGAATGAGTTGATTCCCATGAATGGCTAAAACCCCTGCTTGGGGCCGTCACTCAGATACAGCAGGTTAAGCTGCCCCCCTGCAGTGCCGGCATCCAAACGGGCACCGGTTCAAGTTCCGGCTGCTCCACTTCTAGTCCAGCTCCCAGCTAATACGCCTGGGAAAGCAGCAGAAGATGGCCCAAGTGCTTGGGCCCCTGCACCTGCATCAGAGACCCAGATGGAAGTGCAGGCTCCTGGCTTTGGCCTGGCCCAGCCCTGGCTGTTGTGGCCATTTGGGGAGTGAACTAGTGGATGGAATGTGTCTCTCTCTCTCTCTCTCTGTCTCCCTGTAACTTTGTCTTTCAAATAAATAAAATGAATCTTTTTTTTTTTTAAAGTGTGCTTGGCACATCATGTTATTTAATTTTATCTCTCAGAGGCCAGCGTCATGGTACAGCATGCTAAGCCTGTGCGCCGACATCCCATACGGGCGCCAGTTTGAGTCTCAGCCACTCTACTTCTGATCCAGCCCCCTGCTCGTGCGCCTGGGCAAGCAGCAGAAGACGGCCCCCCAAGTCCTTGGTGTCCTGCCACCCATGTGGGAGACCCAGATGGAGGTCCTGGCTCCTGGCTTCCTCCTGACCCCATCCCAGCTGTTGCAGCCATTTTGGGGGGTGAACCAGTAGACGGAAGATTCTCTGTGCCCTTCAAATAAATAAGTAATCTTCAATTTTGTCTCTGCAGTCCCTGACTGCCAGCGCCAGCGTTAGCATCCCTGTTGTAGAACCCGAGAGCAGCTTTCTCAGGGCTGTAGGAGGCGCTGCTGGTAACTCTTCACCACAGTTGTAAACTTGATGCAAAGTAGCAAGAGTGTCCCCATTCTTATACACTGTGTGCGCCTCACCCGGACCCGGCCATTGCTTAACCCTCTGCTGCCCTGTCTGTCCCCTCGGCGTCTCTCCACTGAGAGGCGGACAGGGGCAGTGGGTCGGGGGACACCACGCCCTTCTACGTGGCAATGCCAATGAGAACACAGTGCAGCTCTGAGAATCGAGGAATGTAGCAGGGGTACGACACTCATCCAGTGCATAGTTCACCTCCCCCCACACTCAGTCCAATTCAGAACCACCTGGCACGCG